ACACCTAACCCGACCACCCCCCATCCCCTTTCTCCCCCCACCCAGATAGAAGCCCAACCCGGCAGCCATGTGGGGGGCACTCAGATGCGGCCTCCCCCCTGTGAATGAGTAATAGTTCAATTTAAAAAAACACAACAAAGGATTTTGACAAATTCTTTATTAAAGAAGGAGCATATTCGACTGACCCAAAGCAGCCAAAGGTAGCCAATACAGTATATGGCTGATTTTAGCCGATGTACGGCTGAAATCGCGGCCGAACTGCGTTCAGCTCACTTTACTTCGGCTCGATTATTCACTCGACTGCCTTTGGCAGCTTTGTGAATAACCCCATAAGTATTTTCAGCAAAGGACCAGTAATTAGATATGCATTGATTATAACAACTTGCATATGACATTCTTCATTCTTTCAAGCAGAAGTTAAACTCTAAAATATTAAAATGAAAAACTATATTGGCTGTAATGCCATTGCACATATTACCTATTAGCCGTCCATTCAGGATGGAATTGAGGCTGGAAGTCCAAAGAGAAAAGTTTTGATTGGATCTCTTGCCAAATGGTCTCTCCCTAACATTTTAGTCTACTTTTAAGTACTACTTTTAAGTGCTGATCTGAGGTCTGTCTGCTCCACCCCCTCCTCTGCGTCCTCCTCTGCAGATTTGTCTGGCGAAGGGGCAGTTCACCCGAAGCGTTCCAGGGACTACGCAATGGCACAGGCAAAAAGATGCCATGCTGTGCTTGAGCTGGTTTGTCTAGGGTACAGGAGCCACACCGGGGCAGAGATTCTGTCAGCTCTGCAGGGGCAGGTGCAGACACCACGCCAGCTTGAACCGGGAATGGTTGTCTGTGATAATGGCAGCAACCTTCTCTCCACCCTATGCCTGGGAAATTTGATGCATATACCATGCCTGGCACACGTGCTAAATTTGGTGGTACAGCGTTTCCTAACCAGGTACCCAGGGCTGGCAGAGCTTCTCATGCAGACCTGAAAAGTCTGCAGCCACTTCAGGCAGTCATACCCCTTTCCCACAAACAGTCTGATTTGTGACATGCCCACCAGTTGGAACTTGACATTGGTAATGCTGCAACATCTGCAAAAGCAACAGAGGGCCATCAATGAGTACCTGTGTGAGTATGGCACAAGGACAGGCTCAGGGGACCTTGGATTTTTCCCCCCGTCAGTGGCTGCTGATTAAGGATGCCTGCACTGTGCTGTCACCATTTGAGGAGGCGGCGAGGATGGTGAGCAGGAACAGTGCATGCATCAGTGACACAATCCCTTTGGTGTTCCTGCTGGAGCATACTCTGTGGGGAATTATTGATGTGGCACTAGAGGCAGAGCAACGGGAGGAAGAGGAGGACTTCCTTAGCTCTCAAAGCCCACTTTACACAGACAACATTCCTGCGGGTCCACAGATCAGACAGGAGGATGAGGATTACATCAGCCGTGGGTGCATTGAAGGTGAGGATGACATAAGGCATTCTTCAAGGGAGGGTTTTGTGTCACCAGAAACACAAGGAGTAGTACGTGGCTGGCAGGAGGTAGTGCACGATAGTGTCATCCTCAGCGACCAAGAAGACACGGAACCTTATGCCTCCTCAAACTTATGCTGCATGGACTCCCTTATCCTGCAAAGCCTGCTAAAGGACCCCAGGATTCATGGTATCAAGGAGAGGGATCATTACTGGTTGGCAACCCTTCTTGATCCACGATACAAGCGTAAGGTTGCAGAGCTTATCCTGCCCTCACTGAGGGAGCACAGGATGAAACAACTGGAGGACGCTCTGAAACCAAACTTGTGTAACACCTTTCCAGGCACTGGTAGGTTACCAAGTGATGAAAGAGGTGATTCTGAGGCTTCGGTTGGTCAAAGGAAGAGCGGTGGAGAAGGCGGCCGCTTGACTGATGCCTTCCGCAATTTTTTCAGTCCACGATGCCCAGGGATGTTAACTTTAGGCACCCATCACCTGCATCTTCATCCTATGGTGCAGGATTACCTAAGGGCAAGGGCAGACCTGGATAGCTTTCCATTGGATGATCCACTGGCTTACTGGGTGTTGAGATTGGATCACTGGCCAGAACTTAGCCAATATGCCATGGAGCTACTGGGCTGCCCTTCATCCAGCGTGCTTTCGGAAAGAACATTAAGTGCTGCTGGAGGTTTTGTCACAGACAAAAAAGTGCGTCTATCCACAGACTCCGTTGACCGGCTGACATTTATAAGAATTAATCAGTCCTGGATCAGCAGCAGCTATCAATCCCCTGATGCTGTTACAAAAAAGATCTGGGATCTCTGGATTCAGAAGACTTCCTAGGCTGCCTACGTTTGTGGGAGATTATTACGCCATCTTTAAGTTAGATTCTCGGTGTCGTGCACCACAGACTGAGGCTGGGCACACACCTTACAACCATTGCAAGACTTTTGTCTTGCGATGGTTGTAAGGTACTTAAAAAAAACGTACGATCTGCCTATCTTGCATAGGCAGATCGTACTTGCGATGATCGCAAGCCACACCCCCTGAGGGGCAGGCTTCCGATGACCGCAATGCAGAACGGGCAGTGTGCACTTGCGCACACCGGCCTGTACGGCTTTTATCATACAAACATGCCACAAACCCGCCGAACATCGTACGATGCTCGGCGGGTTTTCGAACATGTCCGTAAGTTAAAAGTCGTGCGACCATACAGTAGTAGAGGTCGCACGGCTTCCACACACCTTACGATAATGGTATGATCGCGGGATTTCCCGCGATTATCGTACGATTATCGTAAGGTGTGTGGGGACCTTGAGACACCATTTTTCCGCACTCGCATGTGACAGGTGCAAATCATTTGAATATTTGATCGCAGGGTCCAATCCTGCACTCTTCCAGAATACCTCCGAAGGGTTACGGTGTGAAGGCACTAGCTGGCACCAAAGGCCCAATATTTGGGTGCACTGATCTGTGTACTGGATGCATATCATTTGAATATTTGACCGCTGGGTCCAATCCTGCACTCTTCCAGAATACCTCTGATGGGTTACTGTGTGACTGCACTGGCTGGCACCAAAGGCCCAATATTTGTGTGTACCGGATGCATATCATTTGAATATTTGACCACGGGGTCCAATCCTGCACTCTTCCAGAATACCTCTGAAGGGTTACAGTGTGGAGGCATTTGCTGACACTAACAGCCCAATTTTAAAGCACCTGTTGTTACTTTCATCCAACGCCTGCAAAAGAGGCACCAGAATTAATTCCAAATATCTCGCCTTGTTCCGAGTGTCCTAAATGTGGCCTCTTCATACAGGCTGCTGCCCCAAGCAGTTGTTTAAAAGATTAAAGGAAAACCAATTAACGGCAATTGAAATGTCATTTTTTTTTTTAAATGTCACTTATTGCTGCAGCAGGTTCTATACATCCGGCAGTATCCGGACCCCCATACACTTTTTATGGCTAATTAACTTGCATGTAAGCCCTCTTAAAGTGGACAATCGTTTCCGAACGCTTGACCCCCATTGACTTGCATTGAGTTCGAGTTCGTATTCAAACTTTTCGGCCGTTAGAATGTTCGAATACGAACCGAACACGGGGGTGTTCGGCCCATCACTAGTGGTGGTGCTGGTAAGGGAGGGGATAAAGACATGAATCTACCATGTTCACATCTGAAGCCTCCCTTCAGGTCCCTCACTGCAAAAACTTTGAGCCAGGCCAATAGCAGCTGCAGTCTTCCTCCAGCCAATGGCACATGAGGTGGGCGGAGGAAGCTGCAGGTGGCCGGAGTGAAGGGAAGGTAGTTTCACCCCCGTCCTGCCGGCGGCGC